GGAGCTACTCAATATGAGTGTTTAGCTGATCATTAAGCAATGATCATATTTATTGCATTATACCAAAATCAGTAAACAGGATTCTTGTTGTCATAACCAATATTAAGACATCCTGTACTGATCTATCATTTGTGCAGATTTGTTTTTCCTGAGAATTTTCAAGAATCTGGTTTATACAGTCCAGATCAGATTTTCACGTGGATATTAGGTTAACTCTGCTTAACCCTAATCTGGTTGTTAAAGACCTATGACCAAGTCTTGAGGTTAACCCTAATTAACCCTAGCTATTTTCGTGGAAGCCTTAACTGAAGAATAATTGCCTATATATTCCTCATGAAGACTGTTGGTGAAGCACACTTTTTGACAGAAGATCAATAAGGGATTGTATAGTTGTAACTAATGTGATCCAAGCAATTATCATTGTGATAAGTGACTTGGAGTAGGATTTGATTGTAAGGGTTGTGTATCACTCAAAGCTTTGAAGCACGAGTGTTTGTGTCACTTGATTAAAGCTTTGAAGCAAAGTCAAGTTAGGGTTGTGTATCACTCAAAGCTTTGAAGCAAGAGTGTTTGTCACTTGATTAAAGTTGTGAAGCGAAATCAAGTGTGTGTACTGAAGAGTATCTTCATAATTTCATTAATCAATAGTTTAGTATCACTGCTGTGATTGAGGGGGAGTGAGCAGGAACTCAGGTTTAAGTTGATCTTAGATTGAAGTTGCATTGGGTAGGTCTTAAGTGAAGGAGATAAACTGGTTGGTTTATTCCTAAATTAATATCTCTTATAGTGCATTTCCTCCCTGGATTGGTAGCCCCCAGAGTAGGTGTTGTTATACACTGAACTGGGTAAACAATTGATTGTGTTCTTTACTACTTTTAAAATTACTGTCTTGAAGTGTGTCAGATACGATGTCATAACATTCACTGTGACATTGAGTATCTGCTGCCAGAATTTCAAAGTGAATCAACCACTGAAAAGATGGCTAGTGATAAGGGCATTCAGAATTCTCCTCCAATGCTTGACGGCAAAAATTGGATCCGATGGAAAAAACAGATGAAATTCTTGTTTGGCTTCCATGAAACCTTAGAAGTGGTTACTGACGGTGTTCCTGCGCTGGTTGTAAATGTAGCTAAAGCATATAAAAAAGCCCACAATAAAGTCAAGAAGAAATATTGTAAGGCTGCTTATTGCATTCAAATGACGGTCGATGCTTCTAATTTCGATATAATCTCTCATGATGAAACGACAAAGAAGGCATGGGATATTCTAGTGAAGTATTACGAAGGAGGTAAGAAAGTCATGGTTTTCATGTTACAAACCTTGCATCGATTATTGTCGATGGGAGAAGACGAAAAATTTGCAAAATATGTGTCAAAGGTTCAGAAACTCGTCCATCTCATGAAGGGTTGTGGTGAAACCATAACTGATAAGATGGTAGTTGAGAAGGTAATGAGAATATTGACTTATCACTTTGATCATGTTATCGTAGCTATTCAATAATCCAACAATCTTGAAACTACAAAAGTGGGAGATTTGGTTGGTTCGTTAGAGGCGTATGAGATGAGGATTATCGAAAGGAAATGAGTTCAGGACTCGATACAGGCGCTGAAGCTCAGTCATGGAAAAGGAATGGTGGTTCCAACAAGTTTAAAGGCAATGTCAACAAGACTCATGGTAAGAAGTCTTGGTCGAACCCTCACAAGCATCAGGTCGAAGATAGAGGTTCTGAATCCTCGAAAAGAGGAGGAGGAAACTATCGAAAGGAGAAAAAAGATAACAAAGGTGTGCAGTGTTATAACTCTAAAAAGTAGGGTCATGTTGCCAAGAATTGTTGGTACAGAAAAGACAAGGGATCGACAGGAAAGGACGGAGGATCAAACCTTACACGCCAAGATTCATATGATTCTGAAGGTGGTATAGTTGTTATGGCTGCAGTTGTAGATAACCATCTTAAATCCCAGATCTAGTTCCTCAACTCAGGCTGCTCGAATCACATGACTGGTCTAAATGTATGGTTGGAAGACTTCGACGAGTCGAAGAAGAGCAATGTAAACTTGTAGATAATAGTTCGTTGCAAGAAGAAGGTACTGGCAATATAAAGGAATTGCTGAAAGAAGAAACATAACCATATTAGATATGGCAAGATGCATGCTAACGCAGAAGAACTTGGCAAAGTCTTTATGGGGAGAAGTTATTTTGACTGTTGTTTATATTTTGAACAGGTGCCCTACTAAGATTTTGAAGAACAAGGTTCCTGAAGAAGTGTGGATTGGAAAACGACCATCAGTAATTCATTTGAAGGTGTTTGGCTTTATGTGTTACAAGTATATTTTTGATGCAAGAAGAAGGAAGCTTGATGACAAGAGTGAACCTATGATTCTGGTAGGATATCATAAAACTGGTGCATTCAGGCTATTCAATCCAATTAATGAGAAGATTGTGTTGAGTAGAGATATTATGATTGATGAAAACTCTGTTTGGAATTGGATTTTTAATGATGAAATTAACAAGCCATTGATGAGCTATGGTTTTAAGGAAGAAACTGATGAAGTCGAAGTCGAAGAAATTGCTAATATTCCAATTGAATTCGAAGCAGTTGTTGACATTTCAAACTATGTCGAAGTTGAAAAGGGTGTGGCTAGCACAAGCCATAGACCTCAACGAACTAGAGTTCGTCTAGCAAGACTTCAAGATTATGAAGTGACTGGTGATGATGAAGTACACCAGATGGAGAATTAATTCATTTTTCTTTACTTGCAGGTGCTGAACCAATCAACTATAACAGAGTTTTGAAGATTAGAAAATAGAAGTTAGCTATGGTGGAAGAGTTAAAGGAAATTGAAAGAAACAACACATGAGAGTTAGTTGAATTTCCAGCACATACAAAAGCTATCGAAGGAAAATGGGTTTTAAAGTTGAAATAAAATGCAGATGGGTTGATAGCAAGACACAAAGCAAGATTAGTAGCTCGAGGTTTTCTTTAAAGAGAAGGACTCGACTACTCTGAAGTATTTTCTCCAGTAGCAAGATTGGACATTGTTAGACTAGTGGTAGCATTGGCATGCAACCAAGGATGGTCGATATTTCATTTAGATGTGAAATTAACATTTCTGAATGGTCCTTTAGACGAAGAGATCTATGTCACACAACCGCATGGGTTTGTGATTCATAAAGAAGCGAGTAAAGTATATAAGTTGCACAAAATGCTATATAGCCTCAAGCAGGCACATAGGGCATGGAACAGGAATATAGACTCATACTTAGTCGAATTAGGATTTGTCAAATGCAAATTAGAGTATGATGTCTATGTTTAGGTTGTAGTATAAGATATAACAATCATCTACTTATATGTCGATGACTTGTTAGTAACTGGAAATAGCTTGGAGAACTTGTCGAAGTTCGAAGAGTAGATAACGAAAGAATTTGAAATGTTGGATCTGGGAAAATTATCTTATTTCCTAGGCATAGAATTTCAAATTTCGAAGCAAGGTATGGTGATACATCAAAATAAGTATGTCAAAGAGATACTCAAGAGATTCATAATAGATAATTCGAATTCTGCATGCTCACTTGTCGAACCAAATGTGAAATTGGAGAAGAATGGAGAGAAAGACAAAGTCGATGTAACTTTGTTCAAGCAAATTGTGGGATTTATGAGGTATGTATGCAACACTCGACTTGATATAGGTTTCGCAATCGGATTAGTGAGCAGATTCATGGGTGAACCAAGAGTGTCACACATGAAGGCTGCAAGAAGATTTATGAGATACTTAAAAGGATCAACAGGATTTGGAATTATATTTCGATGAGATTCTGAAGACAAAGAAGCAATAGTTAATTGTTTTTCAGACGCTGATTAGTGTGGAGATAAGGAAGATCGAAGAAGCACAACTGGATATTTCTTTCAAGTATTTGGTGCCCCAATCTCATGGTGTTCGAAGAAGCAACCTGTGATGGCATTGTCATCTTGCAAAGCTGAATATATAGCAGGATCATATGTTGCTTGTCAAGCAAATTGGATTAGATTAGTACTTGAAGAAATGGTTGTCGAAGTGAAGAAACCTCTAATATTGCAAATCGACAACAAGTCGGGCATAAATCTGATGAAAAATTCAGTTCTACATGGAAGAAGTAAACATATAGAAGCCAACTTTCACTTCTTGAGAGAAAAGGTAAATCGAGGTGAACTGGAAGTTAAGCATTGCTCAAGTGAAGCACAGTTGACCGAAATTTTCACTAAAAGATTGAAGATCGACAGGTTTTTGAATTTGAGAAAGAAATTAGGAATAGTTTAGATCAACTATGATTAGTGTAGGTCTAACAACTTAGATTATGGGAGGTATGTTGAAATATTAGATTAAATTTGATTAGATTTAATATTTAAATATAATCCAAGTTGTGTATGCTCAAATCCAATTAGGATTGTATATAAATAGTCATAGTGTATAGCCTCATTTTGTACAATACAATTTCAAGTGAATAATAGAGTCCTTATTTCTTTTATTATTCTCTCGTTCTCTCCTCACTAAAAATATCTCACGCATTAACAAAAATATTTTATTTGTTCTTGTGAGATTAGTTTCGGAATCGGTTTTTATGCTTTGGAATTGATGGCTTTTCAAAAGGACAATTCGACACATCATACCCAAAATATTTTCATCTGCGAAATCATATTTCAACTCTTCCAACACAAGAGTAAAAATGTTTGATGGAAGTTATTTTCTCATAATCTTGTTGCTAATAGTCTCACATAGATAATTGTCGACTAAAATGTTTGATGAAAGTCAGAGAAGAAGTTATGAAAATATTATGTGAATTATGTAAGAGATCAAAATACATGAGTAGCATAAAACTTCACTACCACATAAAGATGACATGCTCTAAATATAACATTTTCCAAGAATAAACAACAATCAAATTACTCATGAAACTTTAAATAGAAAAATCAATCAAAAGTTACATATATTATTATTATGACTTGATCAATGGATCGATCTACTTCAAGTGATATAAAGATGAACATTAAGAACAACAAAGAACAACATAAGAAGCAAACCATAAATAACAGCATGTACAAAAATCGACGCAATAGTTGTCTTCATGTTCATAAACTCAAAGGGTGCATTCTTCCCTGGAAGCTGAAAGATCATTCCTGGAGATAATAGCCAAAACAGTGCTGCAGCTATGAGAGGAGGAGCCCAATCATTCATTGTAATAATCTCTCTCAAGTGGAAGAAAAAATGTTAGTAAGAAAATATATTAAAAGTAGCTATTATTAATGTTGTGTTTGTTATTCTATACCCTAAAGAAAAGGAATTGGAATCCTATAAAGTTAACATAAAAATCAACAATAATTTACTTTAACATATGTTCTCTCCTTTTTATCCGGGGCCTATATGTGGATTATTCGAGATAAGAATGGCATCGTTTTCTTTTGTATAGTCAATCTAATAAAGAGCTCACTTTTGTGAGTGGCTAGAAATAATAAAATAAGACCAGCACTTGTATTTCAATTGTGGAGTAATAGACAAATACCGCAAGATATGGTTGATGATACTTATCATTGTGATTTTAGTGGGCAATGAGACTCAAATCATTGGTCCCTTTATGTTATAATATGATAGGACATTGAGGTTAACAGCGTGCTACTCCTTCATATATTATTTGAATTATATGGTTTTGTTTGGCAATACCAAATTTTCAGTCTTAAACTTATAAACACTCTTTTGAAATGAAATTACAATTAAATTTAATGTTTTTGGTAAGGGTGTTTGCGATATGATTTAGATCGATTTTGAGAATAAAATTTATTCGATCTAAAGATTAAAAATATTACAGTTTAATTTAATTTTGGATGATAATTTCAAAAAAAAAATTGATTCGAACCTGACCAATTTAATGCGGTTTGTTTAAGATTACTTTTTGAATATTCAAATTTATAAAATAAAATTTTAATTAAAATAATATTATAAAGATGCGATAAAATAATGGGTTTGATATAAAATTTAATATATAATATATACTGGTTTGTTTTGCAAAGGATATACTAGAGATGACATATAATTCACCAAAAATGAGTGGATAATACCCATTACCCAAAATAGGGTCGCTAGTCCCCCATCTATTGTTGTGTGCGTCTGTTTATCACAACATGGGTCTATTTCCTAGTCGCTCCTTTAGGGAAATATGAAGAGTGGTGTGTCCCTATCCATAACAGTGTGGGAGAGGAAGTAAAAAAGAGGAAGCTATGTTCTCCTGAGTAATAGAGGAATAAGTTACTCGTTTCCCACACTTTTGAGAGTAATAGGGGAATAGTAATATTGTTTTCTTGAGTTCCAAGATCCAAACTCAAGAGTTTCTATAAATACTTCAACCCTAAAGTTAAAGAGGACATTTAATTCACTCACTAAACACTAATATACATATCTTTTCACCATCCTTTTGTGAGATTGCTAATACTACAACCACAAAATAATCATCAAACAACCATACACAGTTAGGGATTGTCACTCATTATACTTATAGCAAGTACTATTGACGCCCTCCGCTGAGCTCTGGTAAAACTAACCTGGACCACCATTTCATCAGACGGTCAGATTGTTATTCACATCTTTCACTTCCATATCTAATATAGTGAACAAGAAAGTAGTAACTTCGGCCAACAGTAGTACTGATGATGAGGACACAATGACGAATATGTGTGTCGCCTTGGATGACTTAGGTTGTTAGGATCGAACCTTGGAGGAAAACGTCTTTTACATATAAGAGTTCCAGCAGTAGGTTGATCCTATGAAAGAGACTGAAGTACTGGACTCCCAACCTCTTTCTGATGAAATATAGGGGGCACTAGTGAAAGAGAACTTCAAGCCTACCTCGTTGGTCAAGTTTGTTAGTCGCTGCAACCCCTACGAGCAGGTATCCTCCATCAACACGAAGATGGAATTTATTGGAGCATCTGATTCCTTAAAATGCAAACTTATCTCTAGCACCTTTAGAGACGCAATATTAAGGTGATACACGAGCCTTCCACGACTATAATCACCAACTATCAGGACCTGGTGAAGAAATTGGTCCATTAGTTTGCAGCAAGTAGACACTGAAAGATGTCTACCATCATCCTCTTCAACATCCACGAAGGCACCTCTAAATCTTTGAGGGAGTATCTCACTCGCTTTAATGAGATGACTATCAAGGTCATGCACCCGAAGCAAGAGATGTTCATTTGTGCTTTGAAAAATGGACTTACGGTAATGCATTTTAATGAATATCTCACCTAGAGGCCAACTCCTTCTGTGGCGTAGGTAGTAACATATGCATAATGATATATAAAGGGAAAGATAACCAATGCTAAAAATAAGACCATACATGATAAGGAACGGACTACTGGCAACTCTAATAACTTGCATCACTCATAAAAGAACCATTATATCCCGCACATCATAGAGAAATGCGACATTCAAACAAAGCGGGAAACCTATAGAGAGCTTCATGCCTTAGAACACCCGCTGTGAAGAGATACAAAAAGAGATATCGTACCCACAAGGAGTGAATGTTACTTAGATTTATTTTCTAAGAAACTATATTTTAAATTTAAGCATGAGCAAGGATAAAAACAATATATGAGTTTCACAAGTTCAGTTTTCTTCTTAAGCAAGATCTAAACAGTTTAAAGTGAGAATTGAGAATATGTCAAGAGAGTGTAAGTTGAGCTATGATCCATTAATTTAATTGAAGTAACTATGTGTTCATGGTGTGTCCTTTCAGAAAATGGCAGAAAGTGATCTATGAGTGTATTTCTACAACATCAAAGCATGCATTTCAAGGCAAATGAACAAATCTCTAAGTCACACTTATATCCCTAAAATACATCTGTTTGTATTCTACAAATTCTTTATAGTTGTAGTTCATATATCTAAGTGAACTAATCAAGTGAATATCTCTATCCCACTCTTTTCAACTACTTTTATTATGAAATCCACTTGTTGTTGGATCTCATACAACAACAAGCTATTATCTTCTTCTAAGTTGATCATTCAAAGAATATGATTTTTATAAATGGTAACACATAATAAAACAAGGCACTTGACAACACTTAAATTTAACATAAAAACAACATAATGTTAACTTCTCATTATTCAACAAACAAAAGTTTTAGCTCATAATGAACTGAGTACAAGCTACAGACATGGTTCTAAGAGGAAACATTCTTAAACGAATTTTGAAAAAGAAATGTAAACCTAAAAGTAACTTGAGGCCTTCTTGATATGGATAATCAGCAAGAGATGACTTCATTCACGCCAGGACTCAACAAGTGGTACTGGGAATGGTGAGAAGAAGAAGCTCTCTTTTCTCTCCACTAACCTCCATACTATTCTCTTCTTTATTTCTCTTCAAGGTGTTGAACTCTTTCGATCTTCAACATGGTCTATTTATAATCCTCCACCAAGGTTCCTTTGTATTTCCTTGGATCATGGGCCAAAATAAGGAAATCACATCTATCCTAATACATGATTTATTGCCTTCCCATAATTCCTTCTATTTTATATGTAAGGAACCAGGTGCACGAGACAATTGTGGGGACATGGTATCTTATGGAAGTCTGCCATAGTAGTGGCACAAACAATGTTGTCTTTTCTTGTAGAATTTGCTTTGTAGTGGGTGTACTATGTAACCATTTTGTCTTCTAGAGCCTCTTGATCTTATCCACTTGTTTCAAAGTATTTTTCTTCAATGCAACAACAAATAATCCATCCAATGCATCTCCCCTTCCACGTTTGCCCTAGGAACCTAGCTGACTGCTCCATTTCCTTCCTTAGTTGAGTTTAGATCCTTGCTTCAGCTTGCAATCCCAGGTGTTGTCCCCTACAATATTGCCTCAGTTCAACATAACTAACCTTGAATTAAGCAATAAATACATCAAAACAACAAAAGGGATCACCTATTATGCTCCAATAAAATTGCTATAAGAACAACTAAAATGAAATAAAGCAAATACCAAACCACAAATTAGCTAACAATAAAGAAAGATTAGGGTATGCAATAACTCACAAAAAGTAGGTTATCACACCCCCTAACTTGAATCATTACATGACCTCAAGTGATGAAACCGATAAAGAAAGAGAAACTTCCCTCTAAACAACCACCTTTTTCTAACAACATTAACTAACAATCAACACATAAATCATCTCAAATGACTATTTTCAAAAATTGGCACAACTCAGTCTTGGTGCTAATCACAAGTGTGTGTGTGTGTGTGTGTGTGTGTGTGTGTGTGTGTGTGTGTGCGCGCGCGCGCACTCTATGTGCATTACTAAAGCTACATGTCACGCTAATACTTTTCAGTCAAGATAACTAGCCTAAATTTAACTTTGGTTGCCTTATCCTATGATCCAAGAACTCATTTTTCAGTTTCAGAAGGGGGATTAACTGTTCTGTTTTTAAATTTTACATTCAGGATCACACATGCTTTTATTGAGAAATAATTTTGCTTTTGTAGATTCTCACCTTTTCACCTAACGGGTTCTCACTTGTAATGAGCCCAACCTATTATTAATGGTGAAGACATCTACATTTCCTCCCGTCTTAGGCATAAGAAATTATTAAAAAGACTTGTTCCTCCAGTTTCAGGTACAGGTACATGTTTCTTCAATTTCGGGAACAAGAATTTATTTTGAAGTGCACTTTCTCTTACTTCATCTACACACTTTTGTGTGTTTATTTGCATATGCAGTGTGTCCATTGTGCTAAGTCTTAAACAACAGTGTTAACCTCCTCTGACTAAATCCTACAATGAATTCATATTCTATAATTTAAAATGATTCAAATTTATCAAAAGGCTATCTACTTTCCTGACTACTAAGGCATGACAGGGTTTATCAGAAACACAAGAAGTTGCATTGATCAGTCATCAAAACCTTGTTTCCAATATTGTCATAATCCAAACAGATTCATTCTAAGTCTTTAGACTTGTCTGTTTTTCTAGGGGTTGCAGTTAGTCATTTTTCTCTGTTTTATTTTTTTAACAACATAAATAGCATAAAAAATAATTAAAGTAGAACACAAACATACCTAATTTCATTAACTTTGATGGAAATAGGTATGATGACACAAAATAAATAGAACTTTAACAAAAACAACAGAAAAACAACTTAATCAAAAACACAAAAGATGATAATGATAATAATGATGGAGATTGGTTGAGATTGATGGA